GAGCCATAGGTTTTGTAGTCAGGTGGGCAGGCAGGGGAGGTGGGGTGAGGGTGGGCCTGGGACAGTTAGTGGCAATGGAGAGTCAGTAGACCATGGTGAAAAAGAAGGTCTAGGAATGTCTTTGTGGAGATTGCATCAAATGTGAACAAGAAGTGAATGAAGAATTCATGCCACCTGTAGCAGTGGTCTGTGACACAGAGACGCGCCCTTCGTGAAGGTGGGGTGTGATTTGTCGTAGCACCTTGTGTAGTGTGTTGTATAGAAATCCTTGAAAGACTAGTCATTCAGCAGCAAAGCCAGATGTCACCCAGCGCAGAGTGTGTGCAGAACGTGTTCTCCCAGCTATGTGATGAATGATGAAGAACAGGCGGCAAGTTCAGAGGGGTAGACAAGATGTCTGCCAAATGCACTGAGAGGGAGATGTCTGTCCTGTCTCTCATGCTGTCCTTTAATTCTGCCCACAGGGTGTGGACATTAATGCAAGGGGACAGTGGAAGGACTTGCCAGCCCCTCTGGACCACATTAATCTTCACGTGCGTGGAGGCTACATCCTGCCCTTGCAGGAGCCTGCACGGAACACTCACTTAAGGTGAATGATAAACCAGGGCTCTGCTTTGCATAATGTTGAAGCTCACTGATTTGTAACGAACGTTCAATGCCCTAATTATCATTCTCAGGTGCAAAACAATTTTACTAAGAACTTTGTTTTCTTAATTTTTTCATTTGCTTTTGTTTTCACCATTTCCAAACTTTTTTTTCTTTTTCTATATCCACCTATTGAGGAGAAGATGCTGAAGACTGTGGAAGGGCCATGAAGCCTGTTGGGCAGCCTGTGTGTAGGATACATGTTGAGAGCTGTCGTCATATTCTCTCTGTATGTCCCTTGGTCTCTTCTCATGGATCTTTTTATGTGCAGCTTCACCCTGGTGGGTTTTGAGAGGCCCTCATACCCTTTCTTAACCCTCTGAGTTTCATAAACACGTTGACAGAATAGTCAGTCTTCCTGGTTTATCTCGTCCTGTTGCAATTTTAGCACTGAAATGTTCATACCTTGAGAAGACTCTCGCTTCCAGGCACAGTGTCCGTTGGTCTCTCTACCTGGGAGTGTGTGCAGGCAGCCAGGCATCCATGTTTCTCCCCTCTTGCTTTTCTCATTCTCATGTCTGTGCAGTCAGGGGCCGCTGTCCTTTCCTGGCACCTCACATCCCATTCCTTTTCTCACACTGACCTTTCTTTTTTGTGACTCAAACTTGAGGTCAGACATTCTTTCTGTAAGCCCAGTCCCCCGTGTTGCTGATGTTTCTTTTGTACCTCTTGGATACCAAAGTTTGAGACTTCTCGTGTACCTAAGAGGTGCAGATTTAAATCTTTGCCAATGAATGTATAGCTCCATTGTTTTTAATACACTGAGACTTGTTGAAAGGTTAGAAATCTGTCTTTTCCTTTGAACCTTCCTTACTGCCTTAATTTTTGAATTACCGACTTTTAATGAAAATTCGCCAAAATCCAAAAATGGTGGTTTCTTCTACTGTAGTGTTGAAGTCAGGCTGTTCTGTGCACTGAAATCAAAAGTAACCTTCTGAAATGAAAATCTTCACCTTTTGCTCTCCTGCCTGAAGTGTAATCTCCTTATTCACTAGGATGTTCAGGGCCACTAGAATCACTTTCCCAGTTGTACTTAATAAGTGTTTCTCTGATAATATTTCAGTGTGCAAACGGACTAGCCATGCCAAAACATGCTGTTCCCCAACCAACCTGTTGAACTTTGCTGCATTTAGGTCTCTGCACTCATTACCCTTTCCAACAGGCCCAGGGCCTTAAGAGTTTTGGAAAGCCCTTTACTACTGATATAGAGCTCAGTCCCTGTGTATGCTGACTGATGCAAGTTCAGCTCAGATTTCGTGACTATTCAATCTTTTCAAATTCTTCCAGCAGTAGGAGTGCTGCCTCTTCAATGGTTCAGGTCATTTTAAAATGTATCTTGTTCCTTAGTGGAGTTTCAGTGTTACAGTTCTATGTGGCTCCTTGTGACCTCATCTAGAAGAATTAGTTGGAGACATTTAGATTCAGCAGGAAAAGCTTTATTCTTATAGTTGAGTGCAAGAGAAGCCTCTTGAAATAGTTTGGACACAAATTGTTGGTGTTTCCATTTCCTTCCCTTAACCGTGGGTGCAGCCCTTTGTCCCTGTCATCACATACAAAATGTGGGCGAGGGCAGTGCCTCTGCAGTGATTTCCCATGCTTCTTCTTTGTAGCAGGTTCCATTAGCATTTTAAGTCTCAAGTTAGGGGCATGCATTCTGAAGCAAGGGTGTCTTTAGGTCCATTGTCTCTGTGTCTCTAAGCTCTTGCTTTATAAGAATTTCAAGCACACCTTTGTTTTGGGAGTGATGTATGAAAGCTTTAGAGTGTCACTTTTCCTTCCCCAGGAAACTGTGATTGCAACAACTGCCTTCTAACAGTGTGAGTCAGGGTTCCTGCTCCTCTCAGACCCTGTGCCTTATGGATTAAGCTCCTCTGCCCCT